TTTTTTTGGCGGGGGGGGGGGGCGATTCTTAGAATTCAGGTAGCACACTGGGCTACCTAGGTTCAAAAATAGGTTGCCCGGGGCAACCGGGCAACCAGGTATTTTGCACGCTGGACTGACTACTGCGTAACGTTACCTTTTTCTCGACAACATCAAACATCAGCTTGTTCTCACTGACTCCAAAGTCCACAACACCCTGAAAGATACGAGACATAGTTAGTAAGTTTGCACATCATCTGACATTTTCATGCGATACTGTCTTTCCTGCAATTGTATACTGGTATAGTGTTAACACAAGTTAACTGTTAATATTTTCGCTGTGCTTTTATATTCACAACACGTTCCATATGTTCCATGAACTTATCATTATCGTGAACAAATAATTTGCCGACTTCCTATTTGCTGCACCTGCATCCACCGCAAACGTGTAGTTCCGTGAACATGTCCATTTTTCTATGGCCGCAAAGTCTTGCTACCATGAACATTAAGTGATTTGTAGTACATTTTATTGTAATGAGCATGGTTATGTTTACTGAAGGAAAACATATTGTTTTTACTCAGTTTCTTCCTCTTCTGTTCCAAACACTAACCTCTGACCTGGCCAATGACATGATTTGTTGACGTCTGTCACCATGGTGACTGGTGTTGGGTTACATAATGTTGCAATTTCATGGTCTGCTCTGCTCTTGTCACCATATACTCGTAGTACATGTGTGTGAATTTGTTTGAATAAAAATTAACAGGGCAGACCATGGCCATGTCCATTATTATCCATGTCCAAACATTATGTATTTTGCTTTGCAAATGTTACTTCTCTAGTTTGAGTAGATTTTTCCTGAGGATCAAAGAAAGCAGCCCTGAAAAAACTCAAGAATCTACAGGGCTGAGAACATTGCTAGCCTGGGTTCCATCCTGGTTAGTTTACGTCCGCTCCCACAGTCGCTACTTGGTGGTAGCGACTGTGGGAGCGGATGTAAACTAACCAGGATGGAACCCAGGCTAGAACATTGCTGTGCCGTAGGCAAATTGCACAGTTAAGAAGAAAACATCCTGTTCTGACTGGACGCAGTGAAAGTACATGTAATAGCAAAGGTCAAAGTCTATCATTTTTTACTAACAGCTACAATGCCCAAAGAGACAACTTGGGAAATAAGTGTTTGTAAACTTCTTCTTCTTCTTATCTGAGTTTTACGTCTATTGATTCCCCGAATCGGGGGTATAGACGTGCTTGCACAGGTGCATGTTTGGGCTTGTCATTTTGCCCCTCAGCATGCTGAGGTGCACAACAGCAAGCCTGTGCAAGACTTTTTTTGAAGCAAGGTTTTTACTGACTCTCACTTTTTCACTATCATGTTTCAAACATATGTTATATGTAAATAAATACTAACGGGGGGTGCCCTAATTCCGACCCATCCCTAATGCCGAACTAGTTTGAAAAATCCTTGTTGCGGCGTTATTCATGGGAGCACGTGCCTGAAAATAACCACAAGAATGGACAAAGTTTTTGTGTTGATATCGGTAATCTCACAAAGTTTGTTTTAGTTCGTACACTCCGACAACAGACGAGTGAAAAATCTGTGTGAATTCGACGCTTGTTCGGGGGTTGACGAGCGTGTCAAAAATGCAGGTTTTGCTTTTCAAACAGCTACCTTGGAGCAAGTCGCGTAATCGTCGCAAAAAGATTACTTGTTTGGGACAGAAAAACAGTTGTAGATTGTTTTAGTCATAATTTGTGTATTATAATTTCTAAACTCTCTTCTCAGATCGACCTGTGTTAAAAACTAGGTCGGAATTAGGGCACCCATTTTGCGATAGAACGTTCCACCGGCAAAATGACCGAAAACCTGCCGTGCGTTTCTCGAACCATTACGCTTGGGTGCAAGGCGCTACACTAAAGTGAAATACACAGCTGTGCAGCTTTAATCGTGTGATCTTTATCTGTCAATATTGTATCTCATGTTGCGCGGGTTTTTGGTCAGATAAACTATTACCAAAGGTCTGTGCGTTTGCATGGAACATAGGTCGGAATTAGGGCACCCCCCGTTACATGACATTGTAGTTAATGGGTGAGATTATTAGTGTGCAGAGAAGACAAAAGAGACTCAGCAGTAAACTAGAGTTCCACGATCTCATACCTTCGCCAAATGATGTTAGCCTTTATGAATAAGAAATATACTAATCACCCTGATTATGCAAATAGGATCCTCAATTGCATGAATTATATCAGTCTGTTGATCATATTCTCCACCAAAAGACAGTCTTATCTTAACAAAGAATGCCATTTTCTCATAAATTATGCAAATGTGGTCCTTATTTGAATAAGTTATGTTTAATTATGTTCACCTTCACTTAACTTTCAAACACCCCAAGTATGAAATCCCAGGCAGTTACCACTACACAATCATAACATTTTCTCATTAATTATGCAAATTAAGTCTTCATTTGCATAATCAATATTTGCCTGTGTTTCTCTCATTCTTAATAACATATGTTACAAGCTTGAACTTCCTATCTTGGAATGCAGCTGATTTATAGAATTTCCTCATTAATTATGCAAATTACATCAATATTCGCATAATTGTAATATCATTATGTCAAGCATCACTTCAGCTACCTACATACCAAAAATCACGATGATCCATCAATCGGTTCTTGAGTTATCCTCTTTTAAACATTTGTCCTTTAAACCCCAATGCAGTTCTAGAGCAAGCCGCTAGGGAGCCTATACTCACGTCACTTCTTCCCCAGCACAAGAGCTACCTACCATCCACATTTCATCACCATAG